CCACAGAACTGTTCGTAACTTACGTTATTCCCACAAAATAAACGTTAGATAACTGGGAAACGTTTTCTCACTTCCCTCTAAACAGTTCACATAGGGAAATGTTGACGGATCGCTGCAATTAGGCCCGATAATCACGGATTACTTATGCAGTCCAGTTGCATTCTACGAGCGATCACAGGTGGAGTTTCTCTCTATATCTCTCTTCGGGCTTATTATCGAACATGCAGATGTCACGGATTCTGACAGACAAGAATGCGAGGACGGAATAGCGTTAACAAGTTAATTATAAATTTGTGCTCAGACGGTGATTTTTCTAGTTTGGCCGTAACTACAGATTTCACATCTTGACAACACAGGCGACACTTCCAGAAGGCCAGAACAGGTTCTCCCCGCCGATTAACGGGGATTCCTGTGAAACTCTCCCCCTTGTTCTTCAAATGAGCCAATCAGGAGATGGCATCGTGGAGGCCCACAGGTGCCGCTCCCAATCACCTCTCTCCCCTTGGTCACATGATGTCCGTGACACTACGCCAGGAGGCCTGGGTGTTTACACAGGATGTCAGAATAGTGGGTCCTGGCGACCCCAAACTACTGCCAGTACCACGCAACACAATAAGTGAATATTTTCAACCTTAGAATTAACTAATGTTAGCCTTATTATAATTGCTGTAATTTTCTTTAGAGAAACACTATTGCCGCCTCTGTAGTATTCCTGAACAGCTGCCTGAGTGTGCCAGTTGACCGCGTGTATTGTGGGTGGACCGGTCGTCCCTTACTCCCCTTTCGGGTTGAGGGACTCGCCCTCGCTATCACTTACCAGCTCGGCCAGGCCGACCCCGGGAGTGTCGCTCGACCCTGGCTGAGGGTCCTGGCAACCGTGCTCTTTGCTAGGCCTTCCATTCCCACCTGGGGTCTGTGGCATACAAGACACAATAGCACAATCCTGGGATGCGGTTGCCAGCAGAGAAATCTCTTCTTCTTTTCCTTTTGTTGAAGTTCTTCTCTTGTTTCAACATAGTGCCCAGGTGTCTCCTTTTCTACACCTGTCACTATCAGCCCAGTTTGCTCTACCGACTGGGTTACCCAGGTGAGTCTCTTCTTCTGCTGCTTGACCTCTCATCTGACTGAGACCAGGGTCTCTTCCATGCTCTTCCTGAAATTTCTTTGCTGTCACTCCCCTGACAGAGTACAGCTCCAATGTTATAAATAAGTGAGGCTGCCGCTCGCTAATGTCTCACGCTGTGACAGCTGTTACAGGCGCTCGATCGACATCCGTATTGAGCGTGCAGACACTCCTTCAGTAGTACCCTTACATCTAATGCTCCTGGTTCTTCCGCGAGGTGGAGGCAACCTTCTCGGACCCAGCTGACTGGAATTCCATTCTGTCACATCCTATTCGTAACTCCCCACTCTCCCTTCTCCTTACATCTAACTCTCTATTCTCCCTACATCTAACTCGTCACTCTCCCTTCCCCCTTACAACAAACTCTCTTTCGTCTCCCTACACCTAACTCCTAACTCTCCCGTCTCCCTACACCTAACTTTTCACTTTCCCTTCTCCCTGCACCTAACTCCTAACTCTCCCTTCTTCCTACACCTAACTCCTCACTCCCTCTTCTCCCCATATACACACACACCTCTCCTTCTGGAAGTTGTGTTCCCACAGCTGCCAGCAAACCTCTCTACACTCCAGGTTCTCCTGACAATCCGAGCCATTGTCAGAGAAAATGATATACAAAGTGACAGTGCGACTCCTCGGAGTCTACAAACGCTCTGATCGCAAAATTACAGCAGCCATTGATAAGGCAACATCAATGGAACCAGTTGACATCCATATAATATGCATGGTAACGAGGCCAAGGTAATTGTGGCAACAAAACCAGACCTACAGAAGATCCTGGATCCGCAACGCTGGGTCCCACTGCTGGAGATAAACATCTCAACAATTACTCCCAGAAAAATCACTGCCCGGAAAACGATATTTGTGAACAGGCTGAACCGCTGGTTAGCGGGTGAGGTACCCGACACCAGAGTGCGGCAAGTAAACGAAGAAAACCCTACTCTGAAAGCGACAACAGCTCTACTCATCAAGACCAACGATGCCACTCGACTCACGATGAGGATGACCTTCGAAACAGCAGAACAGTTTCAGGAAGCAGTGAAGAACGGTTTCAAGTGCTTTGGAATCACCTCTTCCCCAAACCAGATCGCCTTGGAGAAGGTTTACAACGTGAGACAGTGCTACAAGTTCTTCACCTTTGAGCCCTTCTCCAACAAGTGCCCACAACCAACGGCTAAATGCAGCGCTGCTCATGATCCGGTACTCACAACTACAAGTACTGTACCGCCACCACTAAGAAATGCACGAACTGTGAAGAACAGCACACCACCACCTCCTACTTCTACACAAAAATGAAGGAGGAATTAAAGAAGATTAAAGAGAAGACCACCACTCCGCCGATCACCCAGAGGCAAGTCGCCGCGACCTTAAACCTTTGACCTGACCCATTCCCGAGCATCCCTTTTATAAGCCAAATGCAGACTACGATCGTACCAGTCCTACCAAACAGTGGCTCTTCCCAACAGACCACCGGCCTCCACAATGGGGACCTAAGGACCAACCAGCACCTTCACAGACCCTTGCATTACATGCAGGCATCATCCCTGGTCTTATTTGACTAGCAGAGAGGCTTGTCGGATGCAAGTCTCACTGCATCCACAACCACTCCAGAGACTACCACCAGGACGACCAGGAGGTCGATATCAACACAGACTCCAGAACCACCCATGAACCGGGCAGCATAAACAGAGGTATTTCCCTCACCAGCTCCGAACACTCCTACCATCACCATCTCAGCAGCCTTCTTGAGGTTATCTTGAGATGATTTCGGGTCTTTTTAGTGTCCCCGCGGCCCGGTCCTCGACCAGGCCTCCACCCCCAGGAAGCAGCCCGTGACAGCTGACTAACACCCAGGTACCTATTTTACTGCTAGGTAACAGGGGCATAGGGTGAAAGAAACTCTGCCCATTGTTTCTCGCCGGCGCCTGGGATCGAACCCGGGACCACAGGATCACAAGTCCAGCGTGCTGTCCGCTCGGCAGACCGGCCCCCCTTACCTCAGTTTGCGAGACAAAACGCAAAATCATCAACTATGAATGTTACTGACTCCTCAAATGAGGAAATCTTAGTAGGAACTCCATCGCCACAGTACAAATACGACACCTATTCAGCACAAGACCTCCTCATTGAGGCCACCACACCAAACTCCAACGACAGCACGGCTCAGCCAAAGAAAACACAGAGGACCTAGAGGTCTAACCTAATCCACCAGATCCATAACTGGTACAGCCAGCCCTCCGAGGTTGAAATCCACCATGAAGAACCCCCCATCCATCCCCAGATCTCCAGTATCAGCTATTGGTAATGGCTCGAAAGAGCCTCCTCCAATTACGGTCTATTCGTGCCCGTGCCGCCTGTAGGGTGGCTTAATCTACATCAATCCTCAACTGAAGTCCTGCTCTTGGATTGAATTGGCACATCCACGGAACCCATCTCTAGGTCTCAAGTATCAGCTATTGATACAAATAATGGCTCCAAAGAGCCTCCATTTACGGGTCACCATAGCCAGTGCTACTTGGAACTTTTTGTTCTGAGTGGCTGAATCTAAAACAACAACAACAACAACAACAACCTCTTCTACCTAGACTTAACTCTACACTCCCCTTTCCTAATTACTCACAAAAACACGCACACACCCTTGCGTGCACCTACAGCCAACAATTTTATTTAGCTTCTCAATACATGGGTGTCATAGTTAAGGTCATTCAAATTGATCCTAACGTTTCAATTTATTTGACGACCCAATATTTTCCTGTAATTACCACACAACAGTTTTGAGTCTATATATGTGTGTAACTTTATTTCCAGCCCCTGTCACGAGAGCGTTGATATCACTCCCTTCCACGAGAGCTGCGAGAGGCTGCTCGCCTCCTCCCGGCCCACTGATGGCAACATCACTCAGGGAGAAGTTGACGTCGCCACTGGTGGAGGCGGAGCTTTTGTGGACCAATCAGTGGTGAGGAACACTCCAGCACAGCGTGAGGCCAGCCACGCTCAAGCATGGCTTCATGTTACTGATAGTAATATAACTGCATCAGCTGACCCAAACACGACTCATATCAAGCTTAATGGTCAAAGTATACAATCGTCAGCTGTTCATAATCAAGTTGTAAATATTGATGGCACCATGCATCAAGCTGACAATGCCGGCGCCACAGTGGAAGAGGTTACAACTGTGTGTGACGTAATGGCAGCATACGTTACAGTGTGTGGAGAACATGACGTCACTCTTTCCCTCCCTCCACTCTGCGGTGAGTCTTATAACACTGATTTTATTTTCATTTATACAACACATTGTAAAATAGTTTTTGCTCCAGGGTAGTAATTATTTTTTTATATTTGTTTATGCCTCAAAAGAATAGAAAAATGGCAGTTTTTTCATTAAACCTTGTTTTTGTGACCAGGACAGTGATATTTTGAAACATACAAATTTCCAATGAGAAAACAGCTTCACCCACATTGACAGAGGGAATGGTCTGGAGTACGGGATGAACATAGGCTGGTTGGAGTTCCCAGAATTCAGATTACCAGTGCCACATTCAGACAACGACGATTTTTGGTACTTCCGAACAGCTTGACAGCTAAATACCTTCAAAACAAACTTTCCCAACAAAATTTAGCTCTTTTAGTAATATGCACCATTATTTACTGACATTGGAAACTTAGCACAAATTTCCTGCTGTCAATAATTTGCCCGTACTCGCATAAAACAGACGAGCCTTACACAGCGTCAATGGTTTCTCAGGCCAGTGCGCTTTACCTGAGTAAGGGATTACTATGTTTTACCAGGATTAGGGGTAACTATTCTTTTTAAAAATTTCACTCCACTTGCCTCCTCGCCCTTCCGACCAACCACACACTATACAATTATAATTTGTAT